CAGCATTTATAGAGGGGATTTCCCATACCCACGGCCCAGCAGGCTGTCTCACACTTCTGTGCCCACTCAGAAGGAGTGCCGGTGAACCACGAAAGGCCCCTTGTCACTGTAGTCCTTTTGGCTGATCCAGACATTCTGGAAGGAGTTGAGAGAGGCCACAATAGAGCCGCCCAGCCAGGCAGCAAAGCTGCGATGGGGGGAAGCCAGGATGGCCACCTGCTCCTTGCCTGTCATCTCCATCTTCAGCAGCTCCTTCTTGATTCTCTCCGAGAAGCCCCGGATCATGGTGGTGCCACCAGCCAGCACCACATTGGCCAGCAGCTCTGCACGGTGTTTCGGCTTGCACTTTCTGATGCTGTTCATGGCATGGATGTGAATACCTGCCTCAGGAAAGCCCAGCACAGCGGGGTTGAAGAGGGCCTCAGGGCCCCGGAACCGCTCGCTGCCAATGGAAATGACCTGCTGGTCAGGGAGGATGAAGTCCATGAGGTATTTCTTCTCATCTCCATTCAGCTCTTCGTGGAAGTCCTCAGGGATGTAGCAGCACTTTTCCTTGATGTTGCTCACCAGCTCCAACTCATCTTCTCGGAAGGGGTTGCCACACTCCCCCATCAGCTTGGCCAGGTAGTCTGTCAGAGCACAGCCTGCCACATCTAGCCGGTAGGTGGCATGGGGTAGGACGTAGCCGTCATGGACAGGGGCCGTGTAGGATGTCCCATAGCCAGAGCCAATCACCAGCCCTTTGGTGCGTCCATAGGAGTACACAGACAGCAGGGACTGGTGTGCCACAAACATTGCCGGGACCTCAAAGTTCTCAAAGAGCAGCTCAGCCATCTTCTCCCGGTTGGTGGTTGGGGACAAGGGTGCATCTGTGACCAGCACGGCCAGCTCCTCAGGGCACACACTAAGCTCCGTGTAGAAGATGTGATGCCACAGCATCTCTAGGGCATCCCAGTCTGTAACCACGCCATGGGTCATCACGGTGTTGGCAATCACCTCTGAGCTATTGCTGGGGATGCTTTTCCCAATGTAATACAGGGGACTGTCATTGGTCCTGACCTTGGGGACCCCCACACGGCTCGGGACCACAGAGCGTGGCTTCTCATCGCCAGCCAGGCCGCTCTTGGTGTAGCCAGTGCCAGTGTCTATCACAACAGCACTGTAGTCCTTGTATTTCTCTGCCGCATCTGACGTGGAGACTTCCCGGGATGCAGGCTCATAGCCAGCAGAACCTGGGCTCTTAGGATTCCTTGGATAGATCATTTCTTCAGGCCCTCTCTCTCAAACCTTACTGTGATCGCAAGACCCAGCCCAGGAATACCAGGCTCCAGGAAAGGATCCAAGATCATGCCTGTGCTACCATAGCAACTGCCTAAATCACAGCTGAAAGCAATGACATCATAGTTCCAGCCCATTTACAGAGGTTCTCAGGAAGGTGCAAAGAATTAACTCCTGCTTGACCAGGAAGCAAAGAGGTGCGAACACAGAGATGCCTGAGTGAAACTGGAGGTGTGGGCTGAGGGGGCAGTCCGTAGGTCTCTGTTATGCCTGCTGTGGTGAGAGCAGACGGTGCCCTGGAGACAGTCTGGCTAAACGACCTTCTCTCTGATTCCTTCTGGCTCTGAGGAAGCAGCAGTGCCCTCTGGCATTAGCAAATGTTCTTGGTAGTACCTCTAACCAAGCTGGTTGGTGCCCCTTGTACTTGGCAGAAGTTGGTAGATGGTGCTTTTCCTCCTGTGCACTAGTATTTCCCTATGAAGACTGAGGGGGGCTGGGGGGGAAGGAATGTGCTTGTCCATACCCTGCAAAGCAGATAGAAGGGCAGGTTGCTTGACCCTCCCACGCGCCCATCCCAGGCAGGTGGCACATGGCTGCCCCCAGCACTCGCTGGTATCATGTTCTTTCGGTGCCACTTTCAGAGTTCGGTGGAACCCCCTCCCCACTACAGCCATACAGAGCTCAGGAGATTTTCCTTGGCTTCAGCTGAGATTTCTGGTCTAGCTTTGCCTAGGATCCCAGTAATGACCTTGCATCTTGCTCACTTCTGCTCCACTCCCATGGTGCCATATGTTCATACCCACCTCATCCAGGCTCCAAACTTCCCCACCCCTAGAGTCAGCCCCTCCTGGCTCTGATCTGGCTGAAGGTCCCTGGTACGCATATATCAGAGCCACATAGAGCAGGGCTTCCCTTCCTTTTCTGCTGACAAAAATTGGAGGTGTGGGATGGGCGCAGTTCTGGGTGCAGACAGGCTGCTGCCCCCTGCTCCAAGGGCACCTCTGGATTGAGGACCCCAGAGTTCAATGAGAGCTCAGGTGGGGTGAATGGGTTCTCCTCACAGTCCTACAGAGAAAGTCCTGTTCTCAATCTGGTGCCTCTGAATCCCTGCTGAAAATCCACTGGTTCCTTCTGTTGTTGCCTTGCACTGCTGGAACCAGCCTGTAACCATCATTTGGTGGGTAGAGAGGAGACAAGGGGGCAGACCCCACCTAGCATGCCCACAGTGGGGCAGGCACAAGGAGTGTTCCCCTGCAGGCAGTGATCAGAACTAAAAGCAGGCAGAATGGGCAGGGAAGAGGGAGCCATGTCCCCATTGATCCTCATTGACAGGTGATATTTATGTTCTAGACCTGGCTGCCTTCTCCAGCAAAGAAAGACTCGAGTTATATTATCTATTCACAGATTCATGGATTGCAAGTCTAGAAGAAACCACTGTGATCATTTTATCTGAGCTTCTGTATAATACAGGCCATGGGAATTTCCTGAATTAATTCTCATTTGAACTACAGCAGAGATTTTAGAACAAATCTGGTCTTGGTTTAACAGTTTTCAATGATGCAGAATTTACCCTAGCCTTTTGCAAGGTTGTCCAATGGCTATTACTTTCACTGTTCAAAATTTACACCATATATTTTGTCTAAAGGTGTCAGGCTTCATTTTCCATCTGTTGAATCCGGTTACGCTTTTGCCTGCTACTCTGAAAAGCATCCTGTTACTAAACACCTGCTTCTTGTGGGACTATGTAGACCAGGGGTGGGCAATTATTTCAGCTAGAGGGCCGCTGAACAACTTTTGATGAGCGACTGAGGGCTGCACGGGTAGCCTGGCTCCTTAACAGATGCCCCACCCCCTGATCACCATGCTGAAACTGGAAGGCCCACCGCCTAGCTCCTGACCTTTGCTACTGGAAGTCGCCCCCCTTGTCTTTTGGGAGGAGTGGCTATCCCTCCCACTGCACGCTAGTACTCACTAAATTCTTCAATTGGAGAGGGGGTACCTTGTCTGAGTATCACCCAAGTTATATTTGGGAGGAGTGTTTGCCATCTTGGAACCTGAAATGTTGCAAACTCTGGCAATGAGCCTCTCCCTCCAATGAACCATTCTGCAGAACCAGCAGCTAGACTTGGGGGTGAAGCACTTAGCGCTACCAGTGATGGGGCCCCAAGGATAGCTCCAGACACTGAAGGTGTGCTCTGCATGCACTGGCTCTGTCAGCACCAGAGCTGGGATTGGACAGCTCTCCTTGAGTAGCTGGTCACCTTCTCTGAGGAGCGGCTCAAGAGAAGATTTGGACCTGGCACTGTGAGTACTGCAGGATGTGACAGGCCTTGGAGTGGGAGGACCGCAAGGACCATGGAGGGCACCACACCCTCCTGCAGAGGCAGGTGGAAGCCCAGGATGGGCTGGTGGCAGCCCAGGAGGGCCAGCGTGACATGGTGCTCCTGGCAGCAGCCACTGGTGAGGAGGACAGACACGTTGTTGATGTGGTGCTGGCCGCCAGTGCTGCAGTGTCTATCACTACGCCTGGCATCTATGCCCTGGTCCTGGCTCTGACTGGCTCCTGGCAACCACCTGTGAACCTGCCTCAGGCCCCCCAGCGGGGATGGCAGTAGGTGCAGTGCCACCTGCAGTGGGCAGGGCCCCCTACCCCTGCTCCAGATGTTGGCCTCCTGGTGCTGGGGCTCCCTGCTTTGCCCCCCATCCACTGCTTGCCCCAGCTCCATGAGGGCCATGAGTGGGAGCTGCCCATGGCAGGTCCAGCTCCTCATGCAGGCCCTGCTGACCCCAGCTCTGTGGAGGAGGAGGGGGATTGCTGCCATCCTTGTCCAATCCTTGGCCTGCTCCACAGAACAGCTGGCCAGAAGTCTGCCATCAAAGGAAAAACTGGGTGGTTTCTTACAGTGGAAAACTGACATTTTGACAAGAAATTCCCCAAGATTCCTATGCAATTTCTTTTAATTTAAATGGAAGAGGTTTGCTTTCACAATTTTTTAAAGAGGAAAAGTCCCATCTCCAACCAGCCCTGCAGCTGTGTTAACTACAGGAAATGCCTGTGGGTGAGATGTGTGAGATAAGAGTGAGCTGGTGATGTTTTCCCAAAGCCTGTATCTGACAAAGGATTCAACCACACAAAATAGTACTGAAGTCTGCATGACACAAAGTGTCACAAGGCTTGTTTACACTGCTGCAGAGGTTGGTCCCTGCACTACAGCATGTCCAAACCCTGCCTAATCATGCTCCAGTCCAAATAAGGACACTAGTGAGTATAATCAGGGCTTATCTCTGGCATGCTTTCCATGTTTTCACTCCCTCAGAGAGCAAGTGCAGGTGATGAACCTGCAGTGGCCTCTCTGGGGACCTTCCACATTTGGAGTGTGTCCCCAGGCATGGATGAACAGAGCATGGAAAGGCCAGGCCCAGGCCTCTGGTGCCAGGACTTGCCACCATAGCAATGCTAACAAGGGCAAATGGCTCCCAGACCCCAACTGAACCTACTATGTCAGCAGAATCCTTTGGTGAGGGGTTGTTAACCTGGGCATTTTCTTTAACAGCAGGCAAAGCTGGCAGCCTTGGTTCTGGTCTTGCTCAAGAGCTCAACCACAGGTTTGGTCAAGATGATGTGCATTCCAGTAATGCTCATAAACCTTGTCTGAGATCAGGGATCCACTGGGCTATACAGACATATAGAACAAAGGACTGGAGGGGACTGCAGAGGGAGGGCGGGGAAGATCACTGAGTCCAGATTCCAGCATTCACAGGCAATCATGGCCTGTCAAGGCCAAAGGGTGTGCAAGAACAAAGTAAGGGATTGTCCCTAATAACATAAGCAGACAGAGGTCTCACCAACACTACAGAGCTTTGCTGGCAGAATTCTAGTTCTGGATGTGTTCAGATCTGAAGCTCCTTTGTGGCAGCACAATCCTTTTGTCTGCTGAAAGATTAATCCTGCCTCTGCCAATGTGGCACTTGTACAGGTCTAGCTATGTTCAACCTTCTGACTTAGGCATGAGCCTGGGAAGCTGAAGAGCTGGGTTCCATTCCTACCTGTGCCCCATGCACTTTGTTTGCCCTGTGGGTTCTTACTGTGAATGCTTCGATGGCTCTTTCAGTTTGGGCATGGACACCACCGGGGCCAGATGGGCCCCACCCTCAGTAGGGGCCTCTGCATGCTACTAGAACACAAATAACTACCTTTACAGCTTTTCTCAAGTGACTGCTCCTCATCCCTAGATGCTGCAAGGTGGGCTTGATGTCAGTCTCCAGAGGGACAGCAGGGTGGGGCAGTGGCACTGCCTGATCCTTCATGGTGAACCCCAGCTTGCTGTTAAGCAGATGACAGGACTCATGGTGCTCAGAGGGCTCCTTTCTGGACTCTGTAATTCATTTCAGCCCCTCTGCTGGAGGGAAATCCACTCTGCACTCTGGAGTCAATACCTGCAGGAGAAAGGAGATGGGGCTCTCAGGGGAGCTGTGTGGTGAGCTTGGGGTAAATCATGCCAGATGCAGCAAACAGTGGAACTAGGGGTCATAGCATCAGGGCAGTAACCAGCACATTGACCTCTGTGTTATAGCTGGCCTGTTACTTTAAACCTAGGGTGCAGGCTGTTACTTTAAAATTTGCTTCATGCCTTTGGCAGTATAATTAGGGCAGCATCAACGTGTATTAGCATGAAATCTGTCATCTCTGAGAGCAAATTTACAGGGGGAAAAGGAAGTCAAAGGCAAAAGAACTGATATAATACACTTAATGGTAATTACTTTCTCTCTCTTAAAATAATTAGAGTCCCAGCTGTTTAATCCCCTAGAAATTAACATTAAAAATTATGGGCAGCTAGGCTCCCACTCCCCCAACAGACACACCTCTTGGCCTAGCACAGAGAAGGGGGAAGGCACAGGGAAAATGAGTAGGAGGCAGATGACAACTCACATGGAGGTGCCATGGACAAAGCTGAGCTGGTGTGTGTATATGATGTCATCATCAG